CAGGTTTTAACTTGAAGATACTGGTGAGGACATGTTGAGTTCACCAGAGTCACTTTTATCACTGACTTTATCAACCCTGTGCCTCTATGTTACTTTCTGCCGGCTTGGTTGAGCTTGTGAAATGTCTTGTGAAAGGGGCTTTACTCAGGATTTCTGTTCTTACACAGGACCTTTCCTTTTTCAGTGTGGTAACTGCTTGACGGACCGGCCTGACAACAACACAGGGACACCCTCCTGTCACAGACATAAGTATGGGAGCGAAGGTCAGACATCCTCCCATTTCTTCCTCCAGCACTTCATGAATGAAATCCCTCCCTGCTGAGCGGTGAGTCCCGGATATCGTTTAGATTAAGTCTGCAGTCCTCCATGTATTCTCACTTGTGTTTGTTTTATAATTGATTTATTCATCCACTTTTCTTTCAATAATAAACTATTTAATGTGCAATTCCTGTGAGTTCCTGTGATGAAAGATTCATACTGTCGATTTTTAGTTTTCACCTACACTTTAAAAGTCTTCATCTGAAAGCACTGGTTTGGTTGGCGCAGTAAAAACAACATTTTCCTGTCTGGTTTTCTAATATAAAATATGAAGAATATTTAATTTGACTGATGAGGGTCATTATTATAAAGATAGTGTTTTTGTTTGTTTGGTAAGTACATGTTAAGTACATCTTGTCAGTCAGAATGAAATATCCTGATGTAGAGTACTTTGAAAAGTGCACTCATATGTCATCATAAACCACATTATTATGATTTACCATTTAGATTCATTCTGAAGATGTTAGATATTACCAGGCATCTGAGGAAAAGTACAACCGGGTCATGTACAAACAAATGTTTTCTTTTTCACAGATTTGACACCACATAAAAAAGAAGACAGTTAAAAAAAGGGGAAGTGGCAAATTTACTGAATCTCAAAACTCAAAACTGCTTTGTGTGGTCACACAGCTTTCTCCTTCCCATTTTTATTCAACCACCAAACCTACAACTGCTTTTAAGAGAAGCACATTAAATCACATTTTTGACCATCTTTCCCACATTTTCACACCGACTCATCTATCTGGGTGAAACAGACCAAAATGCCACTGAAGCAAAATGACATGTTAAACATGACGACCAACGTTTACCATCCAACCTGACAGCACTGGAGAGGATCTGCAAGGAGGAATGGCAGAGGATCCCCAAATGCAGGTGTGAAAAACTTGTTGCATCATTCCCAAAAAGACTCATGGCTGTATTAGCTCAAAAGGGTGCTTCTACTAAATACTGAGCAAAGGGTCTGAATACTTATGACCATGTGATATTTCAGTTTTTCTTTTTTAATAAATCTGCAAAAATGTCAAAAATTCTGTGTTTTTCTGTCAATATGGGGTGCTGTGTGTACATTAATGAGGAAAAAAATGAACTTAAATGATTTTAGCATATGGCTGCAATATAACAGAGTGAAAAATTTAAGGGGGTCTGAATACTTTCCATACCCACTGTAAAATGTTTTAAGATGATTGTTGATAATACAAATAAAATTGAACTATATTGCATTTGTTAAATTTTTTTTTTACTGTACTAAATTTGGCTGACATGAAATTCCTGCATTTGCTAATTTGTAACTTTTTACTCTTTACTCAAGTATAAAAGGGAAGTTGCTGTTATCACATTTTTAAGTTCATGCATCAGTGTGAAAATGATGACACATTCTACAGGCTTTACAACACTTTGTTTTTTCCTCTCACTACATCAGTGACCTGTTCCCTGTGTCCCTTTGTCCCTCCAGAGCTGCCTCAGCAACATGCTTGTAAGGAGGAGGAAGCTCTGGCTGACCAGCAGCTCTGTGACCAGGAGAGGAACTCCAGTCTGGACCAAGAGGACCCAGAGCCTCCAGAGATTAAAGAGGAACAGGAGGAACTCTGTAGCATTCAGGAGGGAGAGCAGCTTGGACTGAAGCAGGAGACTAATCCTTTTATGTTGACTGCTACTTATGAGGACAGTGACCACAGTGAACCAGAACCAGACAGTGACCAGCAGCTCCTCTTTCACAGCTCTCCTGTAGCTGAGAGCCAGGATCAGAGAGGAAACCAGCATGTAGACTCAGGATCAACCAGTCACAGTAGCAATGTGGACAACTCTCCCATGTCACAGACTGAGTCTGATCCTACCACAGGTAACAAGTCCTTCAAATGTGGCACTTGTGGGAAAGAATTTAGTTGTAGTAAGTGCATATTGAACCGACATTTGAGAATCCACACAGGTGAAAAGCCATATATTTGTGACACTTGTGAGAAAGGTTTCAGACGGAGGTCACAATTGAATGTTCATTTAACAGTCCACACAGATGTGAAGCCATATGTCTGCAACACCTGTGGGAAAGATTTCAAGTAGTGCTCAACATTTAATACTCATTTAACAGTCCACACAGGTGAGAAGCTGTATGTCTGTGACACCTGTGGGAACGGTTTCAGTCGGAGATCAGCCTTGACTACTCACTTAAGAACCCACACAGATGAAAGGCCATTTCTTTGCAATACTTGTGGGAAGAGTTTCACCAGGAGCACTGTCTTGCAGATCCACATGAAGGTCCACACATGTGAGAAGTGGGGTTGTAACAGTGTGAGATTTTCCTAATATGATAACCGTTTTCGAAAATATCATGGTTTTACAGTATCATCGTATAACATATTACAGCATTAAGGTGAACAAGGGAATTAAAACAGAAGCTTTTTTTAAAATTGCAATCAGGGTCTGAAATTAACACCCACCAGTCGCCAAAGTGGGTCGATTTTCCATTAGATATAGATTTAGATTATAACACACATTAAATCTTTAACACTTAATTTTTGCTCCAATATTTTACCACAATAAACAGGAAAATATTGTCTTTTTGGTCCTTTACATTTACTTGTCACTTGTTACACATAGTGACATGAATCCATTAAAAATGTAGTGGTCAAAAACAAACAAGGTACCAGTCCAGAGGTAAAATGTAATAGAGTAGTTTGTAGTTCACACATAGATATTATTTGCAGTAGTCATGTAAGGGTGAGCTACAGTAAGTGTTTATTTAAGCTTGGAGAGATCCGTTTCTCTTGTCTGAAGTGTTTGGAGATGCTTATGCATGGAGACCATGGGAACTATTCACTGATAGCTTGCTCAAGCAAGAATATCTTGGCTTGTGTCCTCCTTGTTTAATTTATTGGTAAATGAACATTGTAACTACTGTGTTATAAAAAGAAATCTATGCATTGATTTTGATGTGATGACCATGATCATTCATTTTGTATCCAGTTTCTGTGGCCTGTTAATCTGACGTGAAGCTAAAGTTTGAATAATTTTGCTGGAGTTTCGATGTGCTGGATATTGGTTACAGGCTTTACAGCACTTTGTTTTTCTCTCTCACTACATCAGCGACCTGTTCCCTGTGTCCCTTTGTCCCTCCAGAGCTGCCTCAGCAACATGTTTGTAAGGAGGAGGAAGCTCTGGCTGACCAGCAGCTCTGTGACCAGGAGAGGAACTCCAGTCTGGACCAAGAGGACCCAGAGCCTCCAGAGATTAAAGAGGAACAGGGGGAACTCTGTAGCATTCAGGAGGGAGAGCAGCTTGGACTGAAGCAGGAGACTGATCCCTTTATGTTGACTCCTACTTATGAGGACAGTGACCATAGTGAACCAGAACCAGACAGTGACCAGCAGCTCCTCTCTCACAGCTCTCCTGTAGCTGAGAGCCAGGATCAGAGAGGAAACCAGCATGTAGACTCAGGATCAACCAGTCACAGTAGAAATGTGGACAACTCTCCTATGTCACAGACTGACTCTGATCCTACCACAGGTAACAAGTCCCTCAAATGTGACACTTGTGGGAAAGAATTTAAGTGGAAGTCGAAATTGAACCAACATTTGAGAATCCACACAGGTGAGAAGCCGTATTCCTGTGAAACATGTGGGAAGAGTTTTGGTCGTAGTAGTGCCTTAATTATCCATAAGAGAATCCACACAGGTGAGAAGCTGCATCTTTGCAACACCTGTGGGAAAGGATTCAGGCAGAGGTCAGAATTGACTACCCATTTAAGAATCCACACGGGTGAAAGACCGTTTTCCTGCAACACCTGTGGGAAAGGATTCAGGCATACCTCACATTTGACTAGTCATTTAAGAGTCCACACAGATGAGAGACCATTTGTTTGTAACACCTGTGGGAAAGGATTTAGGCATAGCTCAGTTTTGACTAGTCATTCAAGAAGCCACACAGGTGAAAAGCCATATGTTTGTATAACATGTGGGAAGAGTTTCAGTCGTTGTAATACCTTGTCGCGCCATATGAGAATCCACACAGGTGAGAAGCCGTATGTTTGCAGCACCTGTGGGAAGGGATTCAGCTGGGGCTCACGATTGACTGCTCATTTAAGAATCCACACAGGTGAGAAGCCGTATGTTTGCAACACCTGTGGAAAGACTTTCACACATAGAAGTATATTACACCATCACATGACAGTTCACACAGGTGAGAAACCATATGTTTGCAACACTTGTGGAAAAAGTTTCAGGCAAAGAGATAACTTGCACAAGCACATGAACATCCACACAGGTGAGAAGCCATATTTCTGTCAAACATGTGGGAAAGCATTCAGACAGAGCTCAACCTTGACTGCTCATTTACGAATCCACACAGGTGAAAGGCCGTTTCCTTGCAGCATTTGTGGAAAAGGTTTCACGAAGAACAGGGCCTTGCAGGTCCACATGAAGGTGCACACAGGTGAGAAGTAGCATAGCAACAGTTTGAGATTTTCCCAGTATGATAACTGTCCTAGAAAATATAGTGTTTTCACGGTATTATCGTATAACATATTACACCTTTACTATTATCAGAGTAATTGAAACAGAAGGGTTTTTAAAATAAATTGCAAACAGGGTCAGAAGTTAACACCCACCAGGATTCAAAAGCTGGTAGATTTTCCATTTGGTGAGTAAATCTCAGAAGACCACCTGCCACACTGGTGGGTAAATGTTTGTAGCAAAATAGTCATGGACTAAAACTGTATCCTGCCCTGCTTCTGTCTGTGTCCGAGTCTGACATGCACACCCGTGTCTGTGAAGACCTGCTCCTGCTCTGCCTCTGGTTGACTTTATAGTTTGCATGTTAGCATCAGTAGTGGAGGAAATATTCAGATCCTTTATTTAAAGCTACTGAATGCAACTTGTTCAAATATTTTTTTGCTGTAGAAATCTGCTCTGAAACTTGTCCTGATGTAGAGAGGTGCTGTTGAAGCCTGTCTACACACAATTTTTAAGATAGTCTAGTGCTGAAGTTATTACTTTTTTTCTGGTGCTTTGCTGTGTTTCTTAGAACATTATCACTAAGCATCGAATAGTAGATGATGATTAATTTGATTAACGTTATTACCCCAGAGGGAAACTGATTTGCATTGTAGACATAAACATACACAATAAAAACTAGTATCAAAGTATCAACCACAGTCTTCACTGTCAGCGGTTCATGATTGTAGGAAGCACAATTTAAATTTTATACCACATTTTATTCATAAAAGCTAAACAGCTCTCAAAAGAGAACATTGCAAATACTGTGTTGTATAAAAGAAAGTAAAAAGAAATCTATGCATTGATTTTGATGATGTGATGACAATGATCATTCATTTTGTATCCAGTTCCTGTGACCTGTTAATCTGACGTGAAGCTAAAGTTTGAATAATTTTGCTGGAGTTTCAATGTGCTGGATATTAGGAAGTCGATTGGTTGCAGAAAACAAATATGAGTGTCAGTAAAGATGGTGCTAGCATCTGGGACGAAGAGGAGGCTAAGCATGGCTAACGTTATCATTTCGGGAGGAGACCCAGTCCCAACTGCCTCGGTGTCAGCAGGCGATCCTGGCACAGATGATGGGCCATGACAACCATGAACAGGTGACAATGGAAACATTGCCAAGCTGAGTTTTATTGCAGAAGTGGTTTTTCATGTAGTCCTGGCTTCATGTCAGATACTGGTTGGAATTTTCTTCTTATCAGGTTAATCATGACTTACACAGATTATACAGTACTGACACGCTTACATTCAAAATTTGATCACTCTGGGACTGTTGTTATGAAAGGCCTCGGGTGATTTTCAGCTGTGAGGTCATGAAGTGAGCTGTGACTTGTGTGAAAGGTAATCTTTAGACTTTGTTTAAATTTCTAAAACTGCTGTGATTATGAGTCAGCAGATGTTTGACGTGGCAGATGTTTGATGTGGCCGTAGTTCCATTTATCTTTGTGGGCAGGAACCGCCCCAGAGAAAGGTTTGACTTACATGTATCCTAATGCTATTGGCCATAGGCGTGAGCAGGCCAACCTCTGCTCACGTCAGCTTACTGAATATGCTAATCAAATGATGTGGGAGTGTTGTGACTCAGGTGGTATCTAACATGAACATATGGTCATCTTCAAAGTACAGACTTCCTGCATACATATTTTTTAACAAACAAACAGGAAATACTAAGCAGTTTTAAGTCACCAATGCAATAGTGATGCATATAAGTAAGAAATAAAAAAATAGGAACAACTTAAGTTCATATGACTCATATTACAAACAGATGAATTATAGAGCAAACCTAAATTCCTACATTTTTCAGGAAGTAGTAAATTGTGGATTTCAATCTAGCCACGGGTTGCAAGCCAGTGACTTCTGTGCCGGTCCCAAACCCGGATAAATAGGTTTGCGTCAGGAAGGGGATCCGGCGTAAAAACATGCCTGGAACATCTGAATTCTTTTTTGTAAAAGAAAGTACTTTTGTCTTGGACACAGAAAGACTAAAACCCCAATCTAATGCCCATTCTTCTACCTTCCTTATCGCTTCTTGCACTTTCTTAGTAACAAAGTCCAAATTTCTACCTCTTTTCCACATGGCCCCCATCATCTGCAAATAAAAATACGATAATAGATCTATCAACTCTACTAAATATATCATTAATCTTAATAGAAAACAATACTGGACTTATAATACTACCATGAGGTATTCCATTTTCTACTAAATGGTTATCACTAAACATCTCTCCTACTCGCACTGAAATTACCCTTCCATTTAGAAAATTCTTAATCCATCTATATAGTCTTCCTCTAATTCCTATTTGATGTAGTTGAATAATCAGTCCCTCCTTCCAAAGCATATCATAAGCTTTCTTGATATCAAAAACACAGCCACTACACTTTGTTTAATAACTAATATATTTTATACTGTTCTGTTGTCCTGTGTGGGTAAGTGGTTTGGACTCCTGATTTTCATCTAGGTTTCAACACCAGCTTTAGGAAACACGCAGATTTTATATTTTTACCAACAAATGTTTTGCTAGTTTTGAAGGAAAACAAATTTTCTAATGATTTAGCTGAATAAAACAAGCAAATAATTAAACCATTCCTTTGGGAAATTACTTTTAACCCTTTCCAGATATGTAGCCAGTGGTGTTTTATCAAACCTTAATTCAGAATAGTTTCAGTATTTTCTGCTTGTGTTCATGCTAGCAGCATGGCTAACCAAAACATTAGAGAGACTTCTTTGTATGTTGCACTACTGGTCACGCTCAGATTTTGACCTGTATACTACTTCTCTCTCCAGTACTGTCTACAGTACATATTCCACTAGGTTTACCTGCCCGGCTCTCGACTACCGACCTTCTGATCACAACATTTCTTTACTTAGGTTTCTCTGAGCTCCTCTTCTGCTGCCTGGGAACCAATATTCTGCATTAGGATTCTGAACACATATCCCAAAGCTGTTTTAATACATTTAAGGCACGGCCACATCAAATGTCTGCAAACTCGTAATCAGAGCAGTTTTTAAAACTTTAGAAAAGTCTAAAAGGTTACTTTTCACGGAAGTCACATCTCACCTCATGAGCTCACAGCTGAGGCTCAGAAGTGTGAAATGCAGGACCTCTAGACTGAAAAACTCTTTCTTTCTGACTGCCATCAGACTCCTAAACAGCTGACTCAAGACAGTTACAACAGTGCATGGACAGAACTGGAGCAAAATTACTCCAAAAATAACTCAGTTGCAGACCTTCCTTTTCTACCAAAGTCTATTAAGAAAATGAATTACTCTAAGAACATCACAATCCTCTCAACTCTGACAGCCTGGTGGAAAACAAACAAAATCACTAAATCATCACTTGCACCATGTAGTTACACTCCAATTTGGCACAACCATGATTTTCAACTGCATAATAACCCTATCTATTTCCCAACATGGCAACACAAAGGAATCACTCACATCATCTATTTGAAAATAACCAGTTCGTATCATTTAATACACTGATCCAGAAGTACAGAGTTCTGAGAGGACAGTTCCGCCAGTACAATCAACTAAAGTCCACAATCAAGTCGATCGAGGCCCGGGTTAACAACAACCGCCACCAGTGCTGTTGACCTACAGGGTGCTGGCAGAAATTGGACTACTGTTGGTCGAAGAAGGAGAGGAGGTAGAAGGATTCGTAGACAGAGAGAGAAGAGGTAAGGCAGGAGTATAGGTCTGAGAATAGGGACTCAACATTGGCACAATGACAGAGAAAGGTAGAGAGCTGGCGGACATGATGGAGAGAAGGAAGGTAGATATACTGTGTGTGCAGGAGACCAGGTGGAAGGGTAGCAAAGCGTGCAGCATTGGAGGGGGACACAAACTGTTTTATTATGGTGTGGATAGGAAGAGAAATTGAGTAGGAGTCATGCTGAAGGAGGAGCTCATGAGGAATGTTTTAGAGGTGAAAAGAGTGTCAGACAGGGTGATCAGTCTGAAGTTGGAAATTGAAGGGGTAATGTTGAATGTAATCAGTGGTTATGCTCCACAAGTAGGATGTGAGTTAGAAGAGAAGGAGAGATTCTGGAGTGAGTTAGATGAGGTGATGGAGAGTATTCCAAGAGGGGAGAGAGTGGTGATTGGGGCAGACTTCAACGGGCACATTGGTGAGGGGAACAAAG